TGTTCCATTGGTCTATGTCTCTGTTCTTGTGCCATGACCATGCTATTTTGGTTACTATAGCCTTGTACTGTAGCTTAAAGTCTGGTAAATTGATGCCTCCCAATTTGTTCTTTTCACTTAAGATTGCTTTGGCCATACGGGGTCTTCTCTGGTTCCATATGAAGCATAGAATTACTTTCTCTAGATCTGTGGAAAAATGATGTTGGTATTTTAATAGGGATTGCATTGAATCTGTAGATCACTTTGGGTAGTATAGACATTTTAACAATGTTGATTCTGCTGATCCATGAGTATGGTTTTCCATGTGTTTGTGTCCTCTGCTTTTTTCCTTCCTCAGAGTTTCATAATTCTCCCTGTAGAGGTCCTTCACCTTCTTTTTTTTTTTTTTTTTTTTGAGACAGAGTCTCACTTTGTTGCCCAGGCTAGAGTGAGTGCCATGGCGTCAGCCTGGCTCACAGCAACCTCAGTCTCCCGGGCTCAGCGATCCTACTGCCTCAGCCTCCCGAGTAGCTGGGACTACAGGCATGTGCCACCATGCCCGGCTAATTTTTTGGAAAAAAAAATTTTAGTTGGTCAATTAATTTATTTCTGTTTTTGGTAGAGACGGGGTCTCGCTCAGGCTGGTTTCGAACTCCTGACCTGGAGCAATCCGCCCGCCTCGGCCTCCCAAAGTGCTAGGATTACAGGCGTGAGCCACCACGCCCGGCCCTTCACCTTCTTAGTTAAATATGTTCCTAGGTAGATATTGAGTCTTTGATTTGGTTCTCAGTTTGACTGTTGTTGGTGTGTATGAATGCTAGTGATTTGTGTACGTTAATTTTGTAACCTGAGGCTTTGCTGAACTTATGTATTATTAATTAGTGGAAAAAGTTAGAAGTATAATGATGTCTAATAATAAGAGAATAGTAACTTAATTAAGATACATTCAGTGGAATATTATGTGGCCATTAAAAAATTGTTTACAGGCTGGGTGTAATTGCCCAGGCTTATAATCATAGCACTTCGAGGTAACAGGATTGCTTAAGGCCAGGAATTCGAGATCAGCCTGGGGTAATATAGCAAGACCCTATCTCTACAAAAAATAAAAAAAATTAGCAGAACATGGTACACACCTGTAATTCTAGCTACTCAAGAAGATGAGGCACGAGAATGGCTTGGGTGCAGGAGTTCAAGGCTATAGTGAGCTATGATTGTACCACTGCACTCCAGCCTGGGCGACAGAGCAAGACCCTGTTTGTTAAAAATATATATTTATATGCTTATGGCAATGCTAAATTTTAAAAAGTAGAACATAGAAGTGAATATGTGATATTAACTCAACAATGGAAATACTATGCATAGAAAGTAGACTTGAAAAAATTAACCATTTCTCTGTGTTTTCCATACTATAGAAGAAGGTTTTTTAAGAGTTACATTATGTGCTATCTTAGTCCATTTTGTGCTGCCGTAACAGAATACCTCAGGCAGGATAATTTACAATGAACAGAAATTTATTGGCTCACAATTTTTTCTGGAGGCTGGGAAGCCTCAAATCAAGACACTAGTACCTGGTGAGGGCCTTCTTGCTTCATCATCATAGAACAGAAGGCAGAAGACACAAGAGCTAATATACTCCTGAGAGCCCTTTTCATAATGGTATTAATTTATTCATGAGGATGAAGTCCTTCCTCATGACCTAAACACCTCCTATTAGGTCCTACTTTCCAACACTGTCACATTGGAGATTAAGTTTCCAACACATGAATTAGGGGGGACACATTCAATCATAGCATGTGCTAAGTATAGTTGTGACTGCTTTGCATGGATTATCTCGCTGAATCTTTACATACACATAAACCGTTGACCCTTGAACAATATGGGAGTTAGGGGCACCAACCCCCATGCAGTTGAAAATCCCTTAAAACTTTTGACTCTCCAAGAACTTAACTACTAATAGTCTACCATTGACTGGAAGCCTTACCAATAACATAAACAGTTGATTAACACATATTTTGTGCATTATGCGTATTATTTACTGTATTCTTATAATAAAGTAAGCCAGAAAAAAGAAACTGTTGTTTAGAAAATCATAAGGAAGAGAAAATACATTTATAGTACTGTACCATATTTATTGATACTGTGAGTTAACCACATCTGTTTACAAGATGAATCAACTGTATGAAATGGCAGCAACTGCAGCTGCAGACCTCAATCTACAGTGCATATCAATCAGTTCAACTTTTTCTTGTAATGTTATAACTTTGCTCCTTGGAAGCACCTCCGACATCACTAGTGGCACTTCATATGGGTCTCATGGTGTTATTCAAGGCCTATGATATTGTACTAAACACAATGAAAAATATGAAGAACTGTGAGCGATCACATTTTATATTGTGATACACAATTTACTGGAGAGATAAACTGCTCACACGGTGATGATTAGCATCACAGTGTTTTAAGTGGACACTTAAAAACATAGCACAGTAGCAACAGGAGATGGCTGTGAAATTATTACATTAATACAGTATGTACTAAAGTTAATTTTATGCCATTACGATATATATTTTTAAAATTTTTTTAGAGATAGAGTCTCACTCTGTTGCCCAGGGTGGAGTGCAATGGTGCAATCATAGCTCACTACAGCCTGAAACTCATGGACTCAAGCAATTCTCCTGCCTCAGCCTCCCAAGTAGCTGAGATGACAGGTGTATACCATCATGCCTGGCTAATTTTTCCTATTTTTTTAAATTTTATTTATTTATTTATTTATTTGAGACAGAATCTCACTTTGTTGCCCAGGCTAGAGTGAGTGCCATGGCGTCAGCCTAGCTCACAGCAACCTCAATCTCCTGGACTCAAGCAATCCTCCTGCTTCAGCCTCCCGAGTAGCTGGGACTACAGGCATGCACCACCATGCCCAGCTAATTTTTTTTTCTATATATACTAGTTGTCCAATTAATTTATTTCTATTTATAGTAGAGACGGGGTCTTGCTCTTGTTCAGGCTGTTTTCGAACTCCTGACCTCAAGCAATCTGCCCACCTTGGCCTCCTGGAGTGCTAGGATTACAGCATGAGCCACCGCTCCGGCCCCTATTTTTTTTTTTTTTTTTAGAGATGAGACCTTGTTGTGTTGCCCAGGCTGGTATTGAACTCCCAGGCTCAAGCAATCCTCCCACCTCAGCTTCCCAAGTTGCTTGGGTTACAGGCATGAGTCACTGCACCTGGCTTGCTGTTATGATTTAATATTGCATCTTTATGTTTGTTTACATTTCTCTTGGACTGAAAGTGTTGTCACATACGATCTATGTATGCATAAGTTCTGCTAAATTTTACCTTTTTATAATGGACTGTGTATATTTTATGGTAGTAAATGCTAAAATAAATTAGTATCCACATCTTTTTATGCATTCATGACATACCTAACTTTTCCTTAATTTATTTGATATTTCTAGCTACATAGTTCATCCGAAAGTTTTTTCAAATTGTCAGAAATCTCCAAAAATTTTTCCAATATATTTATTGAAAAAAATCTGCATATAAGTGGGCCCATGCAGTTCAAACTCTATTGTTCAAGAGTCAAGTGTATACATATATATATTTCCTACTTTTCTCCACTGAGAGGACCTAAAGGCAATGTTACTGTTATATCAGTGAGCCTAAATAGTGTGGTTTCTACATACCATTCTCCCATAAAAGGAGCCAGGACTCCATTGAGAATGATTGATTCCAGGAGTGGGCCAAGGAAGTTACAAGATGAATCTGGAACATCTTGTAGTACAAGACAATAAGGGAGCAAAAAATGAAGGGAACATGTCCAAAGGACACAGGCCAGGTTGAAGGAGCTCTCAGTGACCCAAGTATGAGAAAATTTGAGCAATAAAATAAATAGTGATGGATTAAAATGCAGAATAAAAGAAATATCCATAAGTTCATTCTGTTATAAGTAACTTAATAAATAAATAAATTAAGGGAAAGGAACAGCTTGTCTTTATAGTTGCATTCCCACTAGTAAGTATAGAAGGAATAAGGGAGGTAGAAAATTAGCATTTAGTAAACATCACAGCAATAATTGTGGCAGGCAACAATCAACCATGGATGCTTAAATTACCGGGCAAAAATGTGACCTAAACTAGGATATTTACATAGTTTCAAAGTATCTTCCCACGAGATACTTACTAATTGCAAAGGGAAAAGTGACTTTACAATGTAGAAATGTGGCAAACTACCAAGTGATCAAAGTTAACATCACCTGTAATAAGACATTGACATCATGTACCTCTTGATAAGTTGGGTAAGAAGGATACAACCTCCCTTCTGCATTGTTAGTCTTGCCAAAAATGTATAACCTCAATCTAGTCATGAAAAAACATGCAAACCCAAATTGACACACATTTTACAAAATAACTGGCAAGTACTCTTTTGAAAAATGTTAAGATCCTTAAAGACAAAGATTGGAGTAGACTAAGGAGACTTGATAACAAAGCACATTGTGGGATCCTAGACCAGAAAAAGGACATAAGTAGGACAGTTGGCAAAATTTAAATAGTCTGTAGATTCAACAGTAATTCAATAGTATTGAATTAATGTTAATTTCTTGGTTTAGAAGAAATACTTGTAAGATTGTTTATGTTATATAAGATTTTAAGATTATCTGGGTGGAAGGTACAGGAACTCTATACTGTTTTTCTCACTTTTTTGTAATTTCAAAACAAAAAGTCAAAAAGATCTTGTGTTTCTGTTCATTACTAACTACTATAAGTTGGACAAGTCACATAACCAATTTAAGACGTAAAATAGGCTATCTGCTTTATCTACTTCACTTGAAACTTAAGTGAGGCTTTAACTGTAAAACAAATGTAAGATATCATTATTATTATTATAGGTTACATTGAAGTGAATTATTTGTGTCCTTTTGTGATTCTGTCAATAAAAGCAATAAACCTGGTTTTCTGCCATCGGTAGAATTTACCAAAAAGGCCTCTCTCCCCTCAAAATTCATCAGTTTTTTTCATCTTTATAGCATTTCAGGCTGCCTTCCAAGCTCAGGGGCCCCTGGCTATGCTGGAGCACTTTGATACTATCTACAGCATTTTACAGTAAGTGAAATACCCAGCAGATACTTTATAAAGAACTGGTGGCTATTTGTCCTAACTTTGCATGTTAGTCCTGAAATTCCAAATTATAGGTTTACTGATAAATACTTCTGAGTGCTGATATCTCTACAGATAAACATTTACCCAACTTGCCACCATATTTATTTAGTTGAACAATTTCACATGTAATTTTAAACATTAGATTCCTCATATTAGATCTGATCTGCTAAAATGGGCTCTGCAGGCTCGTTCCTGTCTCACTCCTACACTTTCTTTCCCTCATAGCCACTTTCGAAGTATAGATCCTGGCCTCAAAGAAGATACTCTGGAATTCCTGATAAAAGGTGTTTATGGGTCAGGGGGTAGGGAATGGACAATATTTGTTCTTTTTGTTTATTGTCTCCTACATTTATTAGCCATGTGATGATATCAAGGCTGTTGTGATTCAGTTGGTTTGGCTAAGCCCAGGGACCTTTGACCTATTAAGGTCTGTAATCTTGGTGGGCAATACAGAGTTATGTGTGTTCACTGTAAGGGCAGACCAACAAGAACTTTTTCCTACTTTTGAGCTACCTCTTTTTAATAAGGGTGATTCTTCTGGTTGCCAGGGAGAAATTGTGGTAACTGGAGTGAGAGAGTAGGAACAGGGCATGTTCAGGGCATCAGGGTCAAGGGTCCCAAAAGACTTAGCTTGTGTTATGGCCACTGAGAGATGAAACACAGATCTTTGGTAATCTGATGGCTGCAAGGGATGGGTGTTTTGAGGTTGGGATATATGAAGAAAGTGAATGACACTGACTCCCAGATTCTGTCCCTCACAGTGGTATCCCGCCACTCCCAGGAACTTCCAACCATCCTGGATGATACATCTTTGAGTTTATCAGATAGAAACGCCCATCTAAATGCCCTCAAAATGAACTGTTATGCTCTGATACGCCTTTTGGAATCCTTTGAGACTATGACCTGCCAGACAAGCCTCATGGACCTGGACCTTGGTGGGAAGGTAAGTTAGAGTTTCTGACTGACTTTATGTGGGGTCCAGGGGGGTGGGGAGATGATACAAAAGAAGAGAATCAATGCTTCTGAGAATCCTTTCTGTCTTCATTTAGGGTTTAGGAGGAAGTACTCAAAAGTATCACAGCATTTCCTTCCCTAACAAGTAGCATTTTGGAACTTGTAATAATTCTTCTATATTACCTTCTACCTCATCTTGATACTGGATAGTTCGGGTAGTCAGAATGGCAGATCTTGACCTTCTTTGTTTCCTTAGTTTTTCCTAAATGTATACATGATCTTTTTTAGGGTAAGAAAGCCCGGATGAAGGCAGCCCATGGCTTTGACTGGGAGGAAGAGAGGCAACCAATTCTTCAGCTTCTAACACAGCTGCTCCAATTGGACATTCGTCATCTGTGGAACCATTCAGTAATTGAAGAGGAATTTGTCAGGTGGATAGTTAGGATGGCTACAGATAATACTGAGCTATGAGGATTGAGAGCTCTATTGTTAGATATGCCCTTTAAATACTTCATTTCATGCCTCAGTTCTATCTGTAATACATAGAAGTATAATCATAACATTGAGTTGTTAGGAATTAGATAATTGAATGTTAGAAACTGATGTGAATTTCTCTCATCTCTAATGCCCATTTATTCATTAAACAGTATTTACTGACAATCTCTTAGATGTATAGCTGGCATCATCATAGGTATTGGAAACAAAAGTTTCTGCCCTTTTGCAGTTTGTATTGTAGAGTAGAAGGCAATTTAAAAATAAATAAAATATGTAATATGTTTTATGGTTTATGGAACAAAATAGAGAAGGGGGATGGGAAGTTAGATGGAAGAGGATTATGATTTTAAATCGGCTATCCTAGCAAGACCTCTTTGAGATGGTGACATTTTAGCAAAGACCCGCAGGAGGTGAATAAGAGCTGTGAGAATATCTGGAGGAACAGCAAGAGTAAGGAAAAGGAATGGTGCATGCGAAGATCCTAGGAGGAAGTGTGGCTAGCATGTGCAAGCAAAAGCAAGGAAGCTGGAGGGATGGCAGCCAAGAGAGGGTGAGAGGGGTAGACGTAAGGTCAAGGGAGCAGTGGGGAGCCAAAGTGGAGATCTATGTAGGCCATCACGGTGATTTTGACATTTCCTCAGAATGAGATGGGGCCACTGGTGATCTGACTTGTACTTAAACAGTGTCATCCTGGCTATTGTATTGAAACAGACTGTGGAGGAAAAGGGGGAAGCAAGAGACCAGGGGCAAGCAAGAGGCTATTCTAATAACTCAGCAAGAGATGATGATTGGTTAGACCATGGAGTGGCAATGAAGATGGGGAGAATGGTTGGTTCTGTACTTTTTTTCTTAAGGTAGAGCTTACAGGATTTGCTGATGGATTAGGAGTGAGGTGTGAGAGAGAGTACAGTCAAGGATGACTCACTGTCCCAGGGTTTTGGCCTGAGCATTTGGAAGACTAGAGTTATTGGTAACTGAGATGTGGAGAAGGTCTTGAGTATATGTTTTGGGGGGAAGACCAGAAATTCTGTTTTGGACATACAAAGTTTGAAGGGCTTATTAGCCATCCAAGTAAAGTTGTTAGATTCAGCTGTTGAATTTATAGATCTGGAGTTCAGGAGAGAGATCTGAACTAGAGATAAATGTTTGGAAATATATGGTATTCAAAGCCATGAGACTGAAATTACAAAAGCATAACTAGAAGAGAGCCGAAATCCAAGGACTGGTACCCTCGGGCACTCTGGCATTAAGAGGGCGAGGAGATGACAAGCAACCAGCCAAAGAAATTTAGAAGAGAGCCTAGTGTCCTGGAAACCAAATGAAACATGTATTTCAAGGAGAATGTGAGTGATCATCCATATCAAAATGCAGCTGATAGGTCAGTTAAGATGAGGATTGAATCAGACATTATATTTAACAATGAGAAGTTGTTGGTGACTTTGTCCTGTCTTTTATCATATATTCATTTTCCTTAGTCAGCATGATAACTGGCTGAAAGTTGGTAATCTTGAAGGAAGGAGTACCTGTCTGGGGTCAGCAAAGCAACTTGGTATAGAAAGCAATAGATAGAATAAAAAAAACTAAAAGACCCTGACTTCGAGGGCAGTAGGGACAGAATGAATGAGGTAGGGCCCTCATATGATTGAATCCAGACAGCTGATTTCATCATCTCAAACTATTCCTTTCTCAGTTTGGTTACTGGCTGTTGCTACCGCCTTCTGGAGAATCCCACCATTAGTCACCAGAAGAACCGCCCCATCCGGGAAGCCATAACACACCTGCTTGGTGTGGCCTTGACACGTTATAACCATATGCTCAGTAAGTTATCCCTCTGCTTTGCCCTACCTTTTTCATTTTGCCCACAATTTCTCATGTTTAGTACTTCCACAGGTGCCACTGTGAAGATCATCCAGATGCTGCAGCACTTTGAACACCTGGCACCTGTCCTGGTGGCAGCTGTGAGTCTGTGGGCCACTGATTATGGAATGAAGAGCATAGTGGGAGAGATTGTAAGGTGACTCTTCCTTCTCAAAGTTTCTAATTCTCATTTTTTTTTTTTTTGAGACAGAGTCTCGCTTTGTTGCCCAGGCTAGAGTGAGTGCCGTGGCATCAGCCTAGCTCACAGCAACCTCAAACTTCTGGGCTCAAGCAATTCTCCTGCCTCAGCCTCACGAGTAACTGGGACTACAGGCATGCGCCACCATGCCCGGCTAATTTTTTCTATATATATTAGTTGGCCAATTAATTTCTTTCTATTTATAGTAGAGACGAAGTCTTGCTCTTGCTCAGGCTGGTTTCGAACTCCTGACCTCGAACAATCCGCCTGCCTTGGCCTCCTAGAGTGCTATGATTACAGGCGTGAGCCACCGCGCCCGGCCTCTAATTCTCATTTTCCTCAAGGATAGGATAAAGAAAGATTAGAAATACAGTCTCTGTGAAACAGTAGATTCCTTCAGATATTAGATACCAGTCTTACCTTCCCTTACTGGGAACTGAATAGTTGAACTGTCTTGCTATGACTTTGTTTTCTTCCCTGTGTAGAGAGATTGGACAGAAGTGTCCCCAGGAGCTGAGTCGGGACCCTTCAGGAGCAAAGGGCTTTGCAGCCTTCCTGATAGAACTAGCAGAACATGTCCCAGCTGTTCTGATGTCCAGTATGTGCATTTTGTTAGATCATCTGGATGGAGAGGTAAGTGTTCCACAAAGGATCTCTGAGGTTTTTCTGGGAATTTTAAATCCGTTGTTGAAAGACTGTTTCTTAACAGAACAAGAAAGTAGCTTTCACATGAAGACAAGTTGTTTAGATTTATCACTGTGGTAGTAATACCTTCCTGTAGAGAAGCAGATCAAATTTATTGAACAAGGAGCCCTTTATTAGTCTCATTTCAATATCACATTGGTTTTATCCAATGGTATCCAGTTCTGGTAGGGGAGGTGACAGTTCCACAACTTAAGTCTAGTGAGAGTGACTCAACTTTGATTCTGAGTCCCATCTATTCCTCAGGACAAAGCCTCTTCCTACTGCCTGGCTTGCCTTGCTTTCTCTAATCAGCCCATGTCCTCTCTCAAATCTCTCTCATCTCTGAATGCTAATCTGGGTGCTTCCCAAACTGACGGTAGGCACTCCTAGGTGAATGTCAAGGACAAAGATAGTCCCTGTCTTTATCTAATCTACTTTAACCTGTGAACGACCCCATTCTCTGGTTCTTGGCCTGACAAAAACCCCAAACCCTATTCTCCACCAGATTATCTAACGGATTTGCTTGTCACCCTACCGATTATTTCTGCCTTTCTGTGTCTCATTTTCTCCCAATAAAATGTGGAAGGAGAGTGAGAAGGAAAAGGGATGTTTATTAGTAAGGATCAAAGGCTTTGAGACCTCTGATTAAGGGTAGTAATAAATGCTTTTCAAGTATGTGTTGGTGTATGGATGTGATTTCATATTCAACCACCATCATGCTTATCTGGGTGAACCCCATGAAGAAAAATTGTTTGGGGTTCTTGTTTATTTTATCCCAGCATTCTGCTTTGAACAAGTAAGTACTGTCTGGGATTCAGCTTTTTTCTGTGACTGTGTGGGTAAATACCAAGGCAGTTGACCAGAAAAGTCATAGCTTAAGCACAAGCAAACTTAACCTTGACTTAAGGCTTTGTGCCCTCTTTATGTCTAGATGGGCACAGAGTTAAGGGAAAAGAGAGCTAGTATTCGAGTTCATAGGTTCATACCAACTTTATTTCTTTCTCTTAGAATTACGTGATGCGCAATGCTGTGCTAGCAGCCATGGCAGAGATGGTATTGCAGGTTCTGAATGGTGATCAACTGGACCAAGCAGCCAGAGACACCAGAGACCAGTTCTTAGATACCTTACAAGCCCATGGCCATGATGTCAACTCCTTTGTGCGAAGCCGTGTTTTACAGTTATTCACCCGCATTGTCCAGCAGAAGGTAAGCAACTTTTTATTTGATTAAAGACATGGTACCCTCTCTGTACAGGCCAAAGTAAAGAGGAATCCAGTGTCAAAGGTAAATAAAAGTCTTCCTTTACCAAGGACAAGGATGTATTTAAAGACTAATGTATCTTACCCACTAGAAGAAGTATTTTTTTTACCTATTTTATATACCACAGAAAGGTGTTTTTAAGATTTATTTATTTATTTTTATTTATTTATTTATTTTTTTGAGACAGAGTCTCGCTTTCTTGCCCAGGCTAGAGTGAGTGCCGTGGCGTCAGCCTAGCTCACAGCAATCTCAAACTCCTGGGCTCAAGCAATCCTCCTGCCTTAGCCTCCCGAGTAGCTGGGACTACAGGCATGCACCACCATGCCCAGCTAATTTATATATATATATGTATGTATTAGTTGGTCAATTAATTTCTTTCTATTTTTATAGTATAGACGGGGTCTCGCTCAGACTTGTTTTGAACTCCTGACCTTGAGCAATCCGCCCGCCTTATTTATTTATTTTAAAGTTGGCTTTTTTTGAGACAGAGTCTTGCTTTGTTGCCCAGGCTAGAGTGAGTGCTGTGGCATCAGCCTAGCTCACAGCAACCTCAAACTCCTGGGCTCAAGTGATCCTCCTGCCTCAGCCTCCCAAGTAGCTGGGACTACAGGCAGGTGCCACCATGCCCAGCTAATTTTTTCCATATATATCAGTTGGCCAATTAATTTCTTTGTATTTATAGTAGATATGAGGTCTCGCTCTTGCTCAGGCTGGTTTCAAACTCCTGACCTTGAGCAATTTGCCCACCTTGGCCTCCCAGAGTGCTAGGATTACAGGCGTGAGCCACCATGCCTGGCCTGTTTTTAAGATTTAGAGCTCAGTTTAGAGTGTACTTCAAGTTCATCCTGAACAAGATGGATAATGTGGGATGTGAGTTGATCCTTCTCTTCCTACCCCATACAGGCTCTCCCCCTGACACGTTTCCAGGCAGTGGTGGCCTTAGCAGTGGGACGTCTGGCAGACAAGTCAGTGTTAGTATGTAAAAATGCCATCCAGCTGCTGGCCAGTTTTCTAGCCAATAATCCTTTTTCCTGCAAGGTAAGTAAACTTGGTCTATCCAAAAGAGAAGGAATTAAATGGATACAGGGATGAAATTATGTCACTTAATGACCCTGCCATTCATTTTACCTAAATGGATACAGGGATGAAATTATGTCACTTAATGACCCTGCTATTCATTTTACCTTGGTAGCTTAGTGATACTGACCTTGCTGGACCACTGCAGAAGGAGACCCAGAAATTACAAGAGATGAGGGCCCAGAGGCGAACTGCAGCTGCTTGTGAGTAGTTTACTGCCTAGGAATCCTTACCCCAGATAGCCTTCCCTCTACAAACAAAAACTCCAATGGAAGAGACTAAATGAGACTCTCTCATTCAGCTGCAGTGCTAGACCCAGATGAGGAGTGGGAAGCCATGCTGCCAGAGTTAAAGTCTACCCTGCAGCAGCTTCTGAAGCTTCCCCAGGAAGAAGAGGAAATTGCTGAGCACATTACTAATATAGAGACCCCTGAAGAGGTGAAAGGACGCATCTGTCAGCTGCTTGCCAAAGCTAGTTACAAGTATGTGAAAAAATGGGATATTCTCCAATGGTCTGTTTTACTTTAGAGTTAACTTTCAAGAAACTTATATAATGTTTCTTTAAAAAGAATTTAGATATGCTGCCACCAGATGATGGTAGGTATTTTCATTGTAATAATGGTCTGACCAAAAGCATAGTCCACAATTAAGCATACTTTTCTACTTTTATAAATATTTAAAGAAACTACTAAAACAGTATAAACAGTATTATATTCTAATTAAACATAAGTCCTCCTTCATTTGAAGAAGAAAGCCTATAAATACAATTTTAGTTGTGTATCCTAAGTTGCTTAACTGTTTGAGACTCACTTTCATTATCTATAAAATAAGAAATTGGTTAGATCATATGATCTCTAATGACTTTCTAATTCTAAATTCTGTGAGCTAATAAATAATATCAAACTTGCTTAATACTGCCTTAATCTTCACAATTCAGTATAAATCCTGACTGTAGAGAAAAGATTTCTTCTAGTATTTTTGTGGCTCTAGAACTTGAGAGCATCTTAGCAACAAAATCCCTTACAGCCGCCAATAGGTATTTTTAAACCTTAGCTACAAGTTATTTATTTCTTACCTGATTGGGCTTTTCAAAAAAGACTGAGTAGAGGGTACCTTATTTGCCTATACCTCCCTTATCTCTCTAGTATCTCTTTATTTTGCTAAAGCATAGAGACCATAATTTTATAACTTCTTACTATTCTTTCTTCAAGCATAAGAGTATTTTCTCCTATCAATTAGAAGTTTTTGCCGGGCGTGGTGGCTCACACCTGTAATCCTAGCACTCTGAAGGCTGAGGTGGGAGGATTGCTCAAGGTCAGGAGTTCGAAACCAGCCTGAGCGAGACTCTGTCTCTACTAAAAAAAATATAAATTAATTGACCAACTAAAAATATATATACAAAAAATTAGCCAGGCATGGTGGCACATGCCTGTAGTCGGGCTACTTGGGAGGCTACTTGGGAGGCTGAAGCAGCAGGATTGCTTGAGTACAGGAGTTTGAGGTTGCTGTGAGCTAGGCTGACGCTACAGTACTCACTGTAGCCTGGGCAACAAAGTGAGACTCTGTCTCAAAAAAAAAAAAAAAAAAATTAGAATTTTTCCCTTATGTTAAACATGTCATCTCCTCCTTCAGAAATCCTTAGTAATAGATGAATAGATGCCAAGTTAAGTTCTTTTTTTTTTTTTTTTTTTTTTTTTTTTTTTTTAGACAGAGTCTCACTCTGTTACCCTGGGTAGAGTGCAGTGGCATTATCATAGCTCACTGCAACCTCAAACACCTGGGCTCAAGCCTCAGCCTCCTGTGTAGCTGGGACTATAGGCACATATTACCAGACCCAGCTAATTTTTCTATTTTTAGAGTGGGGGGAGGGTCTCGCTCTTGCCTAGGCTGGTGCCAGGTTAAGTTCTTTTTTTTTTTTCCTAGTTACAAATTGACCCACAGGTTAAGTTCCTAGTAACTAAAGTTTTCCCCTTCTAACCAGCAGCTTTTCCTCTGTGCTTTTTGTGTAGTCTTCTTTAAGTTTGTATAACTTTTTATGGTTTTTCCCCACAATTTGGAGGGTAACTGACATTATCAGATGAACTTTTCCATTTTGCAGATAAGGAAACAGAAGTTAGGTTAGATGACTTGACTGTCAGACAGAGCTAGTAAGTAGCAGGGCTGAGCCTAAGTCTTCAGATTACAAATCCAGAGCTGTTTTGCTTCCAGTTACAAATTTAAACATATAATAGAACAAAACTTCTTCAAATGATTTTTTTAAACAGTTTTTTTAAAACAAATCTACTTTTAAAAAATTAAGCAATACATTCACATGGTATAAAATTTAAAATTACAAAAAGGACATGCCATGAAAAGTCCCTTCCAAACTTATTTTCTAGCCACTCAGTTCCCCTTTCCATGGGGAAACAATGTTAATAATTTATTAAATATCATTTTAAAGATAACATAAAGACATACAGTCTAACATATGTTTTTTCCCCCTCTGACACGAGTGTTAGGATTCTCTATTCATTGGTTTATCACCTTGATTTTTTCCATTTAACTATGTGTTTCAGTGATTTTTTTGTTGTTTATATATATAATTATATACATAATTTAACTGTCCCATTTTTTTCATGGCTACATAGAATCCCATTGTGTACATGTGTCCTTTTTTTTTTTTTTTTTTGAGACAGTCTCACTTTGTTGCCCAGGCTAGAGCAAGTGCCATGGTGTCAGCCTAGCTCACAGCAACCTCAGTCTCCTGGGCTCAAGCGATCCTACTGCCTCAGCCTCCCAAGTAGCTAGGACAACAGGCGTGCGCCACCATGCCCAGCTAACTTTTTGTATATATGTTTTTAGTTGGTCAATTAACTTCTTTCTATTTTTAGTAGAGATGGGGTCTCGCTCTTGTTGATTCTGGTTTTGAACTCCTGACCTCAAGCAATCCGCCTGCCTCAGCCTCCCATAGTGCTAGGATTACAGGCGTGAGCCACGGCGCCCAGCCTACAGGTGTCTTAATTTAGCGGATTATTAAAAGTTTATTGTTCCTAAACTTTTACTTTGCAAATTTTTTTTAAGAGACAAAAATGTTGCACAGGCTGGATTTGAACTCCTGGGCTTAAGAGATCCTCCCACCAAAGTCTCCTGAGTAGCTGGGACTATAGACAAGCACCACCGCCCTTGGCTTTAGCAAAGTTTTTAAAAAGGTGTTTGCTGTAGCTTTTTTTTTTTTTTTAGACAGAGTCTCACTCTGTCGCCCAGGCTAGAATGCCGTGGCATCACGCTAGCTCACAGCAACCTCAAACTCCTGGGCTCAAGCGATCCTCCTGCCTCAGCCTCCCAAGTAGCTGGGACTACAGGTATGTGCCACTATGCCCAGCTAGTTTTTTCTATATATTTTTGTCCAGCTAATTTCTTTCTTTCTATTTTTAGTAGAGACACGGTCTCACTCTTGCTCAGGCTGGTCTTAAACTCCTGACCTTGAGCCATCCTCCCACCTTAGCCTCCCAGAGTGCTAGAATTACAGGCGTGAGCCACCACGCCCGGCCTGGTGTAGGTTTGTGGTCTAAAAAATTTGAAAAGCCTCATTCGAGTTTTTTGAAGACTATTAGTAAAGCCTATGGCTTCAGAAATAGAAAAAGTGTTTTGAGCCCCACCCCCTATTAGATGCTGCTCAACTTTTTAAGCATAATAAGTGTTCCTTTTATTTGGACAGTAGGTCGAGAGACTTAATGGAATCATGAGGTAGGTTCCCTTTTAAACAGCTACAGTGACGCTCTTCTGGTTGCTGAATTGGTTCTTTCAGGCAGGCCATCATTCTCACTCGAGAAGCCATAGGCAGCTTCCAGGAGTCTGAACCCTTCAGTCACATAGACCCAGAGGAGTCAGAGGAGACCACGTTCCTGAATCTCTTAGGAATTATCTTCAAAGGTAATTTTTTTCCCTTCTTCAGTCAAATAACAAAACATTTCAACTAGTATTTACTGAGTTAGTATTTACTTTATGCTAGACAGTGGCCTGGCTAACAGCCTGGTGCTGAAAAGGCCCAGAGGGGAGTTAGCAGCACTTCTGCTCTGGAATCGAAGCAGCTCGTGGACCTAAGAATGATAATCACAGAGTAACTATCCAAACCATTGAGGTCTTTAGGAATCTTTTTTGAGAAAAGAAGACATTTTATTAATATTTTATTTACTTTTTACAGAGACAAGTCTCACTCTGTTGCCCAGGCTGGAGTGCAGTGGCACAATCATAGCTCACTGTGGTCTCCAGTTTATGGACTTAAGTAATCCTCCTGCCTCAGCCTCCCAAGTTGCTGGGACTACAGGCACATGCTGCCACACCCAGCCAATTTTTCTATTTTTTGTTGAGACAGGTTCTCACTGTGTTGCCAAGGCTGTCTTAACTGCCTGGCTTCAAGTGATCCCCCCAACTTGGCCTCCCAAAGTGTTAGGATTTATAGGCATGAGCCACCACATCCAATCTTTGTTTTGTTGTTTTGTTTTGTTTTTTAAGATAGGGTCTCACACTCTTGCCCAGGCTGGAACACAAAGGTACAATCATAGCTCACTGTGATCTTGAACTCCTAGACTCAAGCAATCCTCTCACCTCAGCCTCCCAAAGTACTAGGATTACACGTGTGAGCCACCATACCCAGCTAAGAAATAAAGACATTTTAGAATACATTCTACTTTCGTATCTTCACATTGCAGAAAGAAATATCCAGGGATGTTAACAGCTGTTGGATTCCCCCACATAATCCTTCAACAAAAACCAACCTGTATGTCTTTAACTCCTAGGTCCAGCAGCTTCTACACAACAGAAGACCAGGTCTGCAGGGAACATGGTCCCAGGACAGGTCTCAGGACAGACTGTCTGTAAAGATAAGGTGTCAGAGCCTGAGGAATCCAGGGAAAGTGATGAACTGGTGAAGCAGGAGATGCTGGTGCAGTATCTGCAGGATGCCTATACCTTCTCTCGGAAGATTACTGAGGCCATTGGCATCATCAGCAAGATGATGTATGAAAACACAACTTCAGGTATGCCAGAAGCCTTTTCTGTAAGGAACTAGTTCTTGGGCTTTCCCCGTCTCCTTTTTTCTTTTTCATTTAGGAGACAGAGCTGGGCGTGCTGATGTGTGCCTGTAGTCCCAGGTACTTGGGAGGCTGAGACAAGAGGATCGCTGAGTTCAGGAGTTTGAGGTTATGGTGAGCTATGATGATGCCATGGCACTCTAGCCAGAGTGACAGAGTGAGACTCTATTTCAAAAAAAAGAGAGAAGGAGACAGGGTCTAACTCTGTCACCCAAGCTGGAGTGCAGTGGCAAATCATAGCTCACTGCAGCCTCAACTCCTAGGTTCAAATGATCCTCCTGCCTCAGCCTCCCAAGTAGCTAGGACTACAGGCATTTGCAAACACAACTGACTAAATTTTTTTATTTTTTTGTAGAGATAGAGTCTTGCTATGTTGCCCAGGCTGGTCTTTTTTGAGACAGAGTCTCACTCTGTTGCCTGGGCTAGAGTGCTGTGGCATCAGTCTAGCTCACAGCAACCTCAAACTCCTAGGCTCAAGCAATCCTACTCCCTCAGCCTTCCGAGTAGCTAGGACTACAGGCGTGCGCCACCATGCCCAGCTAATTTTTTGTATATATGTTTTCAGTTGGTCAATTAATTTGTTTCTATTTTTAGTAGAGATGGGGTCTCGCTCTTGCTCGGGCTGTTTTAGAACTCCTGACCTTGAGTGATCTGCCCGCCTCGGCCTCCCAAAGTGCTAGGATTACAGTCGTGAGCCACTGCATCCAACGCCTAGGCTGGTCTTGAACTCCTGGCCTCAAGCAATCCAACTACCTGAGTCCCCTAAAGTGCTGGGATTACAGGCGTGAGTCACCACACCCAGCTGATCTTGGGGTTCCTGTCCATATTTATTGATATTTATCTGCTCCTTTAAAAGGCACAGGTTCTTCATTTCCATTTCTCTTCATAGCTTAGGTATTTTAATGCATATAGTAGTTCATGATAAGGCATTATAGGAGATGACATTTTCAGAGAAAATGAGGAAGGCCTCTACTTGCATGTTGGTATAATCAGAAAGGTTCTATCTTTAGGTAATGGGAGAGTTTTGCCAAGTAGATAGGTGACATTTGTATCTGTCCTCTCAGTGGTGCAGGAGGTGATTGAATTCTTTGTGATGGTGTTCCAATTTGGGGTACCCCAGGCCCTATTTGGGGTGCGTCGCATGCTGCCTCTCATCTGGTCTAAGGAACCTGGTGTCCGGGAAGCTGTGCTTAATGCCTACCGCCAACTGTACCTCAACCCCAAAGGGAACTCTGCCAGGTATATGGGGTACTTTTGCCTTTACTGACTTTTCTGAGATCAGCTTCTTATAGGACTTTTTAGGTCTCCTAAAGGAAGTGGGGTACGTCTTTCCAGAGGAGTTACAAACTCATAGGCAGTAGGTCCATAATGGAACTCAGGGTGGGGTTGAATTTACAGTGAAGCTCATCCTAAGCAGTGATTTGACACTGTGGTGGGATACCCCTAATAATTTGCCAAGATCAACTTATCAGTCTTTTAATGACCCCTATTCCCACAGAGCCAAGGCCCAGGCTTTGATTCAGAATCTATCTTTGCTGCTAGTGGATGCCTCAGTTGGGACGATTCAGTGTCTTGAGGAAATTGTAAGTCTTCTCACTTTCTCTTTATTCATTCAACAAGTATTATCAAGTTATTACTATGTGTTGAACAATTTTACTCAGCTCCATACAGAAGTATATAGCTATTTACTTTCATGTTCCCAACTTTAAAGGAACCAACAGTCTAGTTGGTAGCCAGAAACACAAAACATTTTTACAACAATGCAGCAGATAGATTATTAAATGCTAGAATAAGTGGCACGGGTAATGATTGAAATAGCTATAATAATAACACACTTACATGCCAGGCACTGTTCTTAGCACTTTACTCATATTAACTTGTTTAATCCTCACAACACTATGAGACAGTGTCTGCATTTTACAATGAGAGATCTGAGACACAGCTGAAGGAACTTGGCTAGTTACAGCTAAATTAGTAGCAAAGTTTGAGATTTAAACTCAAGCAGTGGCCGGGCGAGGTGGCTCACGCCTGTAATCCTAGCACTCTAGGAGGCCGAGGCGGGCGGATTGCTCGAGGTCAGGAGTTCAAAACCAGCCTGAGCAAGAGTGAGACCCCGTCTCTACTATAAATTAAAAAAGAAATCAATTGGCCAACTATTATATGTAGAAAAAATTAGCTGGGCATGATGGCACATGCCTGTAGTCCCAGCTACTCTGGAGGCTGAGGCAGCAGGATTGCTTGAGCTCAGGAGTTTGAGGTTGCTGTGAGCTAGGCTATGGCACTCACTCTAGCCTGGGCAACAAAGCGAGACTCTGTCTCAAAAAAAAAAAAAAAAAAAAACTCAAGCAGTAAGAGTTCCAGAAAACATACTCTTTAAACTTCTGTACTTTACTGGGGAGTACAGAGTAGAAAACAAAACAGTTTAAGGTAGAATGGTCAAGGAAAGCTTCCTGAAGGTGGTAGGACTTATGTTGGGTCTTAAAAGATGAGTAGGATTTAGTCAATTAGAGAAGGTAGGGAGAGCATTTGAGACAGATACCCTAGAAAGAGCATAGCCGTGTTGTAGAATGAGGAGGATTGTGCTCTGGTTCAAATTTATTATCTGGAAAAGATTATAAAGTTGAGAATGTATGTTGGAACTAAATTGTGAAGGTCCCTGAATGACTTCAGGAGTCTAGGACTTTAACTGTTAGCAGGGACCCAGCATTTCAGTGAGGCAAATCTGCTCTGAAGCATTCTTGTGTCGTGGGCACAGAGTAGAAGTGGTGCAAACCTCCAACTGCCACTAGGAGGAGTACTCCTGCTAGCCACAATTGTCCTCCTCGCTGGGGAAAAAAGAAGAGAGCCTGGTGATGGCAGTTAACCCAAGATCTCCTAGGCCAGCTATGGGCAGGAGCCCTACGATAGGCAGGGGAGAGCGACTACAAGATGAGCAGCAGCAGCAGCGTGATGAGGTGAAACAGATGTTGGGGGGCTTACCTGGCAGCAGCACATGAGCTGTTGGCAAGGAGGCGAGGGCAGGATGGGAGGCTGGAGGAGGGCTTGTGGTGTGCTGTGATAAGGGGCTGGACTTGGGACTGCAGGCTACAGAATGGACCTAATAGAAGACAGATTTTAAAGGAAAAATAGGTAGGACTGAGTGATTGATAAAAAATTAGGTGACTGAAATTTTAAGCATGTGGGAGTGAGTGAGTGTTGGAACCGCTGGCAAAATGAAAAAGCAAGGAAGGATGACAGCTGCCATTTTAGACATGTTAAGTCTATGGTAACAGCAAGAAAACCTACTGGAAATCTCCAGAACTATGCATCTACATGGAACTCAAAAGTTTCCATGTCATCATTTTCGATGTCACTTTAATAAATGTAGTTTTAAAGGCATGAGAGTAGAAAAGTCAAGAATAGAGAGAGAAATACCTCCCCAATCCCCTGCTTTACATTTTGAGCCTCCTCCTTCCTTTTTCATTCCAAAGTATTGCCTTTGCCCACTTCAGGTTCTCGATATTATCTTCAGAGATGTGGACCAGGGATTGGGGAATTGTTATTTATTTTTATTTTTTTGGCTTGAGCCTTTTTCTTTTCTCCACAGCTCTGTGAGTTTGTGCAAAAGGATGAGTTGAAACCAGCAGTGACCCAACTGCTGTGGGAGCGGGCCACTGAGAAGGTCCCCTGCTCTCCTCTGGAGCGCTGTTCCTCTGTCATGCTTCTTGGCATGATGGCACGGTGAGGCTGAGGTCAGACAGGCAGTAGGGTGGGGAGGAACGAACGGTTCAGAGAAGGTTCTTTCTCCTTCAGTAGTAGCAGTGAAGCCCAGCCAAGCTCTGGTGTGACTTAGCCACCTAAATGGAAAAGAAAGAGTATCAGCCCCCCTGCCTAGTAAAAATGGTGGGATTCAGTGGAAGAAGAGGGACTCAGGGGGCTGTCCCTGTGTCGGAGCCACGTTTTCCAAAGCCCCGTGTCAGAGTCATAGTGTTCCAAGGATCTGGACACCCTTATGTTTGGTGCTGGTACCTACCCCTGTTGGAATTATCCCCCACATGAGGTCCTGCCCTTAACTGTGGCTTCCTTCCCCTAGAGGAAAACCAGAAATAGTGGGAAGCAACTTAGACACGCTGGTGAGCATAGGGCTGGATGAGAAGTTTCCACAGGACTATAGGCTGGCCCAACAGGTGTGCCATGCCATTGCCAACATCTCTGACAGGAGAAAGGTATGTAGGGCTGGTATGTCCAAACTAAGGAGAGTGGAGATCCTCTTGTCCACCATATACAGACACCCACATTTTCTCCTCTCCTTCTCCACAGCCTTCTCTGGGCAAACGTCACCCTCCTTTCCGGCTGCCTCAGGAACACAGGTTATTTGAGCGGCTACAGGAGACGATCACAAAAGGTGAGCTATCAAGAAGAGGGTTGAGGCCGGGCGCGGTGGCTCACGCCTGTAATCCTAGCTCTCTGGGAGGCCGAGGCGGGCGGATTGCTCAAGGTCAGGAGTTCAAAACCAGCCTGAGCAAGAGTGAGATCCTGTCTCTACTAAAAGTAGAAAGAAATTAATTGGCCAACTAAAAATTCCTAGAAAAAATTATCCAGGCATGGTGGCGCATGCCTGTAGTCCCAGCTACTTGGAAGACTGAGGCAGAAGAATTGCTCGAGCCCAAGAGTTTGAAGTTAATGTGATCTAGGCTGATGCCATGGCACTCTAGCCTGGGCAATAGAGTGAGACTCTGTCTCAAAAAAAAAAAAGAAAAAGAAGGGGGTTGGAGGCCAGGTGCAGTGGCTCATGCCTGTAATCCCAGCACTTTGGGAAGCTAAGACAGGAGGATCACTTGAGGCCAGGAGTTCAAGACCAACCTGAGCAAGAGCGAGACCCTGTCTTTACAAAAAATAGAAAAATTAGCCAGGTGTTGTCCACATACCTGTAGTCCCAGCTACCCAGGAAGCTGAGGCAGGAGGATCGCTCAAGCCCAGGAGTCGGAGGTTGCAGTGATCCTTGGGCAGAATTGAGACCTTCATCTGCAGTGAACTACTTCTCTGTTCTCCTGTGCAGGCTTTGTCCACCCAGACCCACTCTGGATCCCATTCAAAGAAGTGGCAGTGACCCTCATTTACCAACTGGCAGAGGGCCCCGAGGTGCTATGTGCCCATATATTGCATAGCTGTGCAAAGCAGGCCCTGGAGAAGCTGGAGGGGGAGAGCACCTCCCAAGAGGACCCAAGTGAGTGGGCAGGGAGTTGATGGGCCCACTGGCAGGCAGCCAGTTTCTGCTGTTTTCCCCACAGGGCCAGAAGCCGCTGCCACCACCACTTTCTATAGCAACCTGTCAGCGTATACTGTCTTGTTTTTGTCCAAGTTGAAGTTGGGCCACTTAGTATCGCCAGCTCCCACCCCTATATCCTTCTTATTCACTAGTTTGAATAGCACATGTGCAAGGGGAAGGGATTCAGGTTTGACGGGACGTGATTATATCTCTTCTCCCTGCCTTCTCCCTCCCTGTCCTCCAGAGGAGACCCCCCCTAGGCTCCCCACTTTCCTGTTGATGAACCTGCTGTCCCTGGCTGGGGATGTGGCTCTGCAGCAGCTGGTACACTTGGAACAGGCAGTGAGTGGAGAGCTCTGTCGGCGCCGAATTCTTCAGGAAGAACAGGAGCATAAGACCAAAAATCCAAAGGAGAAGGTAAATGGAGCACCTGGGTGATTGGGATCTTGTCCTAAGCATTTCCTAGATATATTTCATGACCTCAGCTCAGAATATCCTTCTGGGTATCTCTATTTCTCTGCTATCAAATGAAGTGAGTCTCTGCCTCTTTGTTGCTGCTACCCTGGAAAAGATTAATGTGCATACAGATGGACCAGTCTGTCCGTGATCACCCAGGAATGAATGTTTTAGGTAAATACAGGGTATGGAATTAGAGACTTCAACATAAAATTAGGCTGTCTCTGAGGCAAAGTTTGTTGGAACATGAACGCACACACCCCCTTTTCCATCAGCCTTCATTACTTGCCTGGCACCTGATGCGATCTTGTATTCTCTCCACTAGAGGCAGTAATGTCTTGCAGACAAATCAGACTTAGAGCCTTCCAGCAGTGGGGTAATGTTTGACCTTCTCTGTGACCTTGAACCACTGTCTGGCATGATCCATCTGTTTACTATATACAGGAAATTACGTCTTCTATGAGGAAGAGGTAGAAACATGCTTTGGCAACTTAAAAGCAATAGGGATCCAGTTCTTTTCCTGTTTAGTTTGGGAATCCTTTCTCTTTACAGACACATTTGACAATTCTGTGAATGGCTTTGTAGAATTTGCCTTTCCTCACATCACTCTTGTAAAATGAAGTATAAGCCAGAATCAAAAATGTTGTCTCTGCTCACCCATGATCCCTGGCTTCATTGCGTTTAGAATACAAGCTCTGAGACCACCATGGAGGAGGAGCTGGGGCTGGTTGGGGCGACTGCTGATGACACAGAGGCAGAACTGATCCGTGGCATCTGTGAGATGGAACTATTGGATGGTAAGAAAAATGGCTGCACTCAGCAGTTTCTCCCCAAGTGAGATAACGTATCCCAAACCTGAAGTTATTCTTCCAACAGGCAAACAGACACTTGCTGCCTTTGTTCCACTTTTGCTTAAAGTCTGTAACAACCCTGGCCTCTATAGCAACCCAGAGCTGTCTGCAGCTGCTTCACTTGCCCTTGGCAAGTTCTGCATGATCAGGTAGGTCCTGGGGATGGTCCCACCTTCTCAAGGAGGATGGGGTGGTATGTTTTCCTCACGGCCCTCTCCTTGTCCCTAGTGCCACCTTCTGTGACTCCCAGCTTCGTCTTCTGTTCACCATGCTAGAAAAGTCTTCACTCCCCACTGTCCGGTCTAACCTCATGGTTGCCACTGGGGATCTGGCCATCCGCTTCCCAAACCTAGTGGACCCCTGGACACCTCATCTCTATGCTCGGTAATAGATCCTCACGGGCAACAGCAGTCCCTAAGAGCTCTGGAGTCTGGTATGTCAGTGTGAGAATCACTAAGACTCTGTTCCCCCAGTCTTCAGCATTACCTTGAACATCTGCTTGAACTTGGCCTACCTGTATAGGCCCCTAGCTCAGTATGACCCTAAAGGGAGTGAAGCTTCTGGCCGGAAGCTTTGCCTCTTTCCCCAACTCCAGTTTTCAACTCTAGACAGCTTTCTCACTGCCTCTAGAATGGTTTATGGAGGGTAACGGATTCCTGCTGAGGCCTTTTCTGCCAGTGTTTGGGTATAGCCCAGAGGTTTTGGTCCCACTAACTTGAGACTCTATTCCTAGCCTCCGGGACCCAGCTCAGCAAGTGCGGAAAACAGCAGGGCTGGTGATGACCCACCTGATCCTCAAGGACATGGTGAAGGTGAAGGGGCAGGTGAGCGAGATGGCGGTGCTGCTCATCGACCCTGAGCCTCAGATTGCTGCCCTGGCCAAGAACTTCTTCAATGAGCTTTCCCACAAGGTGAGAGGCACAGAGGTGGAGAGGCGGCTGAGGGCTTGCTGCAGAGGCAGTATGTAGGTCACCTCATCTCTCTCTCTCTGTCTTACAGGGCAACGCAATCTATAATCTCCTTCCAGATATCATCAGCCGCCTGTCAGACCCTGAGGCGGGAGTGGAGGAAGTGCCTTTCCACACCATCATGCGGTATAGTTCCCTGGGCCTTGGAGCACATTTTTCACATAACACAGGCTCCGGAATCAGACAAGTCTGTATTTGAATTCCAGCTCTGCTGCTTTTTTTAGCTGTGTATCCTTCAGTGATAACCTCTCTGTGCATGTTGCCTCTCTTATAAAATGAGGCTAATAATGTGTGCCCCTTCGTTCTTGAGAATATTAAATAAGATAAGGTTTCTAATGTGGTGGTAGGCATATAGTAGTGTTCACTAAATAGCAGCTGTTGTTAGTTCTATTCACGGTGAAAATTCCTGGGGAGAGGGGCTTTTCTTATGTATGGGAGACTCAGGGAAGGGGCTAGTGAGGCAGTCCAGGGCCATGGCAGAGAACTTCAGAGAATCTGGTGCTAGGGGATGGTCCAGGGTTGGTCTTAGTGGATGACAAAGCTGGCCCTGGGCCATGGCACATCTTCATCTCCCCTTCCTGCAGGCAGCTCCTCTCCTACATCACCAAGGACAAGCAGACAGAGAGCTTGGTGGAAAAGCTGTGTCAGCGGTTTCGCACAGCCCGGTACTCTGCCTTCCCTGAGAGCCTTTGCGCTGAGGGGCCTTGCAGGGGAAAGAAAGCCTGTCCCTGTCTACGTCCTCCCCACGCCCCCCTGCCACCCCACACCCCCCCCCCTCCCCGAATGTGAGCCATGTCCTGGATCTGGCTGCACCTCACAAAGCCTTTCCCATCTGCAGAACTGAGCGGCAGCACCGGGATCTGGCCTACTGTGTATCACAGCTGCCCCTTACAGAGCGAGGCCTCCGCAAAATGCTTGACAATTTTGACTGCTTTGGACATAAACTGTCAGATGAGTCCATCTTCAGTGCTTTTTTGTCAGTTGTAGGCAAACTACGGCGTGGGGCCAAGCCTGAGGGCAAGGTGAGCAGGCCAGGGACATTTGGGCACCTGCTGGGTTTCAAGGCAGGTTATAAGGAGTATTCTGAGGCTCTTTTAGGTTAGTGTCATAATTTATCCCCACCTTCATTGCAAATAACCCGTTAGAGTGACCTCAGACCAGATTTTCTGTCTCTGATTTTATTTTTTTTAGCTTATTATGGGGGTACAAGTGTTAAGGTTACGTATATTGCCCATGCCCCCCTCTCCGATTCTTTTTTTCTATTTTAGAGCAGTTTTAGGTTCAAAGTAAAATTGAGTCCACTAGGCTCCCACATCCAAAAAGGAGTAATAATTAAAAAAAAAAAAAAAAAGTCGAGCAGAAATGTACAGAGACTTCCCATATACCCCCATGTCCCTCCACACGCACCTTCCCCACCATCAACATGCTGCACCAGCGTGGTACATTTGTTACAGTCGTCGAAGCTACACTGGCATGTCATCTCCCTAGGTCCATAGTTTCCATCAGGGCTCGCTATATAATGACATGTACCACTGCAGTATCATACAGAATAGTTTCATTACCCTAAAAATCCCTGTGCTCCACCTATTCACCTTCCCTCCCCGCAACCCCTGATCTTTTTACTGTGGCCATGGCTTTGCCTTTGCCAGAATGTCATGTAGTTAGAATCATACGGCATGTAGGCTTTTCAGATTGGCTTCTGCCACTTAGTATTACGCACTTAAGGTTCCTCCATGTCTTTCATGGCCGTTTCTTTTTAATCATAGAAAAAGTTATATTCCAGGCCTGCTCTTGATCTTTGTTCCCTCCAGGCTATAATAGATGAATTTGAGCAGAAGCTGCGGGCTTTTCACACCAGAGGGTTGGATGGAAGAGAGGAGCTTGAGATTGGCCAAGGAGGTAGCCAGAGAGCCCCATCAGCCAGGAAACAATCCACTGGTATGTGAAGCAGCCACATGCAGGCCAGACCAGGCCCTCCCCTCAAGCAGTGGTTACCTTCTTTTTTAAAAAAAATCATGTCTCCCTGCCTTTCTAGTCTCTAGGCACCAGCCTCTGGCTTCTGCAATCTCAGACAATGGTTTTGTCACACCTGAGCCCCGCCGGGCTACCCGTCGCCACCCAAATACTGAGCAGCGAGTTTCCAAAAAGAAACCCAAAGTTGTCTTCTCAAGTGATGAGTCCAGTGAGGAAGGTATGATGCCACTTCCTGGCCCTGGCCCAGAAGGAACATAGCTGGGGTGAGGAAGGCTGGTTTTGATAGGGTCCTGCTATGGGGGCCCCACTGCCCCATGGTATCTTCCTGTACAGTTCGGGCTTTATTTCTACAGTGTGGTTGGGGTTGTCCCATTTGTTCTCTAAAAAATTTTTTTCACCATCTTTGTGACTCAGCTTTTTCTTACCTTCCTATTCTTTGAATAGAGCTTTCAGCAGAGATGACAGAAGATGAGACACCCAAGAAAACAACCCCCATCCGCAGAGCATCCACTCGCAGGCACAGATCCTAGCAAGTCTTCTCGCCTCTTCCCATCCCTCTTGTGCAAGGTATCTTGTTGGATGCCTTGAATTCCAATTCCGTTCCCCTTGTAAAATATTTATTGCCTGTCTCCTATGTATTTTTTTAAATACATAAATGATCTTTAAAATGCAGGGCATTTCTCTTAAACTAGCATAACTGAACTTCATTCCACTGCTTTCACTTTGGAATATATGTTTGCCAATCTCCTTGTTTTCTAACAATAAATGCTTTTATAGACTTTTAGACATTTTTCCTAAGCTTGTCTTTGTTTCACCTTTCACATTAGCCCAGACTCACGCAACAGAGGGTTATCAGTCAAGAGAGTGAGTCCAGGAGTGCAGATGACCCCCCTTGCTCCCCGCTGCCCCCATGTCCCCTGCCTGTACAGGTGACAAGATGCCTGGCTGGAGAATTGCAGTGTCTAGGCTCCATATCAGTGCTGCTTAGCTGGGTGCCGTTCTGCCTGCCAGAGAACATTTGACAATGCCTAGAGACTTTTTTGTTGTCACAGTCTGGTAGGGGCAAGGCTGCTGCCAGCATCCAGTGGGCAAAGACCAGGGATCCTACAGTGCACAGGACAGCTCCCCCAACAAAGAGTGCTTCTGCCCAAAATGTCAATAGAGCCTGTCCCAGACCCACAGATGCTTTTCTCTGTGCCCTGCCCCACCCCTACTGGTGTTTCCCTAGTCCATCTCCAAAGACTGGCAACGGCCCTGGCTGGGTGGGAGGTGGGGTCTTGCTCTCCTCTGGCTCTGTAGGAGACAAGGTCTACCAGGCAGTCCTCACTCTGTTACAGGTCTGCAGGAGGTTGAGCCCCTCGGGTGGCTGGTGGCCTGCCTTCTGAAGCCTGTATACCCCTCAGCTCCCCAAGTCTTATCTGCTGAGTCACGGGGAACAGCAGGCAGTGAGGCTACCATCACGACCACACTGGTGTCTGCTGTCATGACAACAGCACACTGCGTCAGTAGTGCTCCCTGGCACTGAGCTCCCTCTTTTGCTTGGGGGGGGGGTGGCTAGAGAAGACAGTAATGAAAAATGACAAGTATGAGGCAACGGGGAAGGAAGATGGTACCTCAGAGACACACTTTGGGTAGTGCAGGAGCATGCAGGGCTCTTCAGGGCCTCTGCTGTGAAAGGTTAAGGGTCCATTTTGGTCCGGTTGCACTTTTGCAGGAATACATGTGTCTCTTCAGAGGTGGGGGCCTCTACTCCCCCAGACTCCACTTGAGCACTTCCCACACCTCTCACCATGGGGCCCTCTTGCCCTGCTCTTGGTGACCCTGAAAAGCCTGGGCACCAACCATGCCAATGGCTGCCAGATGTGGACACAGCCTTGGCTCTGGGGCCCCAAGGAGGAAGGGCAATCCCAGAAAGACTGGATGGGGGCTGGAGTCCGGATGCAGGACAGTGTGCTCAGTGCCTTTCAAGCAAAGATTAACACCAAGCTGGCTAAACTTAGCCCCAGGCTTTTAGCTACAAGAGGAGGGGGCTGGTGTCAGGTTATGCTGGGCCAGCAAAGAGGCGCCAGGACCCCCCTCCCCTGCACCTGCTGATGGGCAAAGGCCACCCGCCCCGCCCCACCCCCTTCAAACCCTCTTTCCTTTCAAATGCTGGGCACCAGGCCCTTCCTCTATCCTTAGCTCACAAGCCAAACCTGGCCCAGCACAGGCTCTACTCCCCAAGGAGGGGATGGATCCCTTCCTCTACCTCCCAAGTGTGGGAAGGGGCGGGGGGCCTGTGCCCACCGTGTGCCCAAGACCTCTTCTCTCCCTTTTTTCCCCTTGTGGACTCACCCTGCCCTCAACATGCCCTGGGCAAGGCCAGTGAAGGGGAGTCCCTGGCTCCTGGGCTTGCCCTCTCATCTCAGGATGGGGAGGGACTTCCGCCCTGGGCTGCAGGGGATGAAAGGGACACTGTCTCCTACCTCAGGTTCCCAGGGGAGACTGTGGGAGGCCTCTGGGCCCCGAAGGGCCCAACTCCCGCCCGATCCGGTACTCTCCCTGGGGCTTCAGCCCAGGGAAGAGCAACTGGGCCTGGTTTGTTTGCCCCAAACGACCCAATGCCCGGGCTGCAGGACATCATGACCTTCCGTGCAGAAACCTCCCCCTCAGGCCTCCTTCCTCTCCTGGCCCCCACTGCCCAGTGCCCGGCCCAGGCCCCCGTCCCAGAGAGGCTAGGAGCCAGGAGAGCGGGAGAGGGTCAGGGAAGCTGGGAACGGCCCCTCCAGGGCCTTTGCCTCCGCCACTACCGAAGAGCCTTGAGGAGAAGTTCCTCAACTTTTCCGCCTCTCAGCCTCTGAAAGAAAAGGGACGTGGGGCTGGCCACGTACAGCCGCGAGCCGTCCTGAATGGGCTCTGGCTCCAATTCCCATCCCACCAGTTCCCAAAGTCATCCTGTTTCATCCGTGCAGCAAATTTAACGTCCCTGGCTCCTGGATGTCCTAAGTTCTCACCAGGGACCCCTGTCTGGGAGTCCTGGAGTCCCGAGTCTCCTGCGTGCCCACAGTCCTGTCCTGAGAACCATCCCCGATCACCTTCCCAACGGCCAATCTCTGTCCCCTCCCCTCTCCGTCCCAAGCTCACGCGCTTGGTGCGTGCACCGTTGAACTAGGCTGGTGCGCCAAAAAGAAAAAGCGGGGCCCGGCTACTCGCGGGTTTACGGGTGCACGTAGCTCAGGCCTCGCGCCCTTGGGCTGGGACTGGGTGAGCCACGCGGGAGGCGGGGCCCCACGTCCCCGGCCCCCGCCACCCCCGTGGCTATAAAGGGAGCCGGCAGCCTCCCCCGCCGCTCTCTGGTCCTCCCGTTCGACAGATAGCCGCATCTTCTCAGGCAGCGCCAGGTGAAGACAGGCGACGGCCGGCGCGGGGCTCGCGGGCGGCCCGCAGGGCGAGGGGCGAGGGGCGTGCGCGGCGGGAGCGTGTGCTGCGCTGCGCGGGGCCGGGTGCGGGCCGGCCGGCCGGGCCCCGCGTCTCAGGGGCGGGAGGAGGACGTGAGGAGGCGCGGTGCGGGAATGGAGGCTCGGGAAGGGGGAGGGGAAGGGGGTGGGCTGCGCCGGGCTCCCGCTGCTGAGCCCGCGGCGGGTGGGGTGGGCCGCTCGGATGCTCACTGTCCTCTTCCCTCAGCACCGTCTCCCAGACACCATGGTGAAAGTGAAGGCCGGAATAAACGGGTGAGTTGGGGGTGCCAGGGCGGGGCCCCGGGCTGCGGCCGGCCGCGTTGCGTCTGCAGGCCTCGCCGGCCCGAGTTTTGCAGCCGGGTGGGGGGTGGGGGTGTACCCCCGCCAAGGAGAACTCAGGGTCAGCGCCCAGGCCTGGTGGAGGTTCTCGCGCCTCCGAAGGCCGTGTCCCCTGCCCCCGGCTGGCGCGCCGCGCCTTAGGTAGCTCCGCCCATGCGGCACAGGCTGCCTGGAGCCTTCCACCGGACCCGCGGCCGAGGAACGACGCGGCCCCCGCTTGGCGTCCTTTCCCATCCCCCAGCGGGGCTCCTTTCTTCCCTTTGGCGCTCTGCGGGGTCACGTGCCAGGCGGACGCCCCTCCCCCGCCCCTGCCCGCGGGCGCAGTGCGCAGCCTGCGGCACCGGCCGGCTGCCCGAGCGCGCCCGGCCGCCATGTTGCAACCGGGAAGGAAATGAATGAAGCCCGTTAGGAAATCTTCCCGAGCTCTGCAGTCTTCCTCCTGCCTCAGTAGGGCGGGGGTTTCCTTTATCTCGTAAGCCAGGTGAAGCAAAGCTTTCCCGGTTCTTGCCCTCAGCGGGGCTGGCCCTCAGAACCCGGCCCTTGAGCCGCAAGCCTGATTTCCCTTCATCTAGGGCGGTGCATCCTAGATAATGTTGTGACGGATCCAACAAGTGCGTTTATGGAGGTCCTCTCGTGCCCCTCCTCCCAGAGTGCGGCAGCTGCGGCTGCGTGCCAAGCCAGGGCAGCTGAGTCACGGGTGGCTAGAAAACTTGGACCACAAAATGGCCCCTGTGGCGGCAGCCCCTCGCGGCTGCTGCCCGCGCGCCTAGGGCTGACCTGACCCTCAAGGCCAGGCGTAAAGGTCACTGGGAGGATTGGGTGTCTGTGAACCTTGGGAAGCCTGCCCTGCTCCCAGCTCCATCCTTCGGAAACCAGATCTCCGCAGCCCTGCTCCCAGGTTAAATATAGCCGCTGACCTTTCTGTCGTGGGGCTTGGGCTGCGGGGCCCACCCCTTCCCCCACTTCACCCTGCTGCGACCCTCCAGGCTCTGGAAGAGAGCTGGGAAGGACGGGAAGCGTAGCAAATCAGAGCCCTGGGACGAGGGGGTGGAAAAGAGCCTGCTTTCTCCATCCCTGTGCTCGTTGCAGGAGCTAGAGAAGGCCTGGGCTTACCCTGTGGCGTTCATTTCCGACCTTTGCTCCTGCCCTTTGAGCTTCCTGATGCTGAGTGTACAAGTCTTTCCTCCCTAGAGGGTGTAGCTTGAAGCTGGGCCAAGGCAGCAGCAATCGTTCCAGGGCACAGATAGTGGAGTGACAAATGCCATGTGCCAGGCTTGTGCCCAGACTGTGGGTGACAGCACCCCACGCAGCCACTTCTCCTTGAAGAATTTCGTGACTGGGTGTTGGGTAGGACAGGAGCTTCACTTATGGCTGTGCTGGGCAGCCAGGCCAGCCTGGCAGGGTTGCTCAGGGAAGATAAAAGTAGACCTCTCAGGACTTCCTGGGACGGGAAGCGTCAGGCCCTATCTCTTCGGGGGAACTGGGCCTGGGGCTGCGCACTCGCCAGGGGGACCCTCCCCTCCTCACCTCAAACCACCTTGCCTCTTGTCCATCAGCTTTGGCCGTATTGGGCGCCTGGTCACCAGGGCTGCCTTTATCTCTGGCAAAGTGGATATTGTCGCCATCAACGACCCCTTCATTGACCTCAACTACATGGTGAGTGCCACCCTGCAGCTGGTGTGAGGAGCTGCCTGGCTGAGGGCAGCCCCTGATGCGCCCGCTTGTCCCCCAGGTCTACATGTTCCAGTATGACTCCACCCACGGCAAGTTCCATGGCACAGTCAAGGCGGAGAATGGGAAGCTTGTCATCAATGGCCAGCCCATAACCATCTTCCAGGAGTAAGTGTGGAAGGCGGGGCAGCAGAATTGTGTCCCAGGGAGGCACCTAGGATGCTGTGACCACCTTGGATGTGCAGGTGCCTCATGTCCCTCAACTTGGTCCTCTTTCCTCCCCCCACAGGCGAGATCCCACCAAAATCAAATGGGGTGAAGCGGGCGCTGATTA